TCAAAATGTCCAGTCGGAGATGGTCATTCGACCGCCTCGTTGATGATCTTTTCGAAATTAACGTTGATGCTACGTTGTTCCTGATTGTTTCATCCGTTGCAAACACGAGAGTTTGTGAGATATAAAAGCAGCAACTCCATTATGAATTGACTGCATTTTATAGTGCATTCTCGCTGATTCTCGCTGCTTTAACACGTTTGGTCAGTCATATTATATCTTTGGCATTATTGCAATAATTTTGCAATGGTTTTCACTCATTGTGCATAGCAGATTTGAATTGTACTGTAAATGGTCATTTTCGACTAAAAGTAAACAAATTCTGCAGTGTCACTCACTTCACTCCTAGTGAATAAACAATGAGCAAGGGTTTAATTTCTTGTGGCGTTTAAGAAGCATTAAGTTGCTTAATTGTACGCAAATCATCCTCCTCTTGCGGTATATATTCAGACAAATGGCCTAACTGATGCAAGCACTTGACCTTAGTGAATTGCTCTCCACACCAACCAAGTTATCTGATATTTTAAAGTTTACTCATTATGTAAAGGAGACTTAATGTTCTAAATCGTCACTCATGAAATTTCATTATTTTCCTTATAATGATAGCTTTCATTGGTATTGTTACAAGTACTGCTAAAGTATTATCACTATTCTTTCATTATTACTTTATCATTGTTATATTTGTATTATTATTGTTGACATTGTTGCAATTATATGATGTTATTTCTATTACTAGCGATAGAATTTTGAAGCCAACTATCAATTTTCTGATAATTCAAGGCAGTTTTCACTGAAAATTTAGGGGAATTGAATGGACTCACTTGTTTACACCTATAAATGTGTGAGTTTTTAGCAGGCAATTGCTCTGGATTCATTGAAAATTGCAAAAAATTGTCTGTTGGCCTCAGCAATGAGTTAGATAATATGTGGGTTCTTTTCAGAACTACTTTATCGAGAGCTTTGTGTGCCAAATTCAATTACTTTGATTGATTTTAGACGATAATTCATTGAAGAATGTTTGCATAGTGAACGGTTGGAGAGCTTAACATCACAATTTTCTACCATATAATGGAGTTGATTCTCGGTTCAGATGAACAGAAGAATTCAATCGATTGACGAATTGCATATTAATGAAGCATAGTTTTGGTTGTGGTTCTCTAGTGTGCTACATTGCAAATGCGTAATTTTTCGTCTGTTTACAAGGGCTAATTTCATGAATCATTTCAAATTTTCCATGTGAATGCTATCATTTTCGTGCTTCTTTCTCATGAAAACTGTTGCAGTTGATGATGTTTTGAACGAATGTTCCCATGGCAAATTGTGAAATAAGCTGCACGCTAGAATGATTTAGCGTGAAAAAACGTTTCATTCCAGTAATTCTGTCATGTTTCCAGCGTATGCACATTGATGAGAGCCATTAATTTCATAGATGATAGAATGTTTTAATGTTCAAGCAATCGCAGAACGCATCTTTTGATTATTGGACCGTGTTTGGTGAAAGCAAATGAGTTGCGATTAGTTTTATTGCTGATTGTGAGGAAGAATATTGTTTTGAAAAAAAAGAGACAAATTATGGAGCGAGTTTGAGTAGTCGCGTGCGATTCGTGCATTGAGTAGCTGACTTCATGGTATTCTATTGAACCATTTTGAGATTCACATGTAGAATTGAACTGAATTAGGAAGGCAATGTGCAATTCAGAACATCATAAGATGGTATCATGTACGTTGGAGATTCCTGTCACTGTTGACAGCACTGGTCCATAGTTACTATTTATCATTAATATGCCGTCGTCATGCTTGCATGCCCTTGATCATCCTTAAAGATATATATCTACAGCAGTGTTGTTCAATGAATGCGTTTTTTGAATCTTCTATAATTTATCGGAATTCCTCAGTTATTTTAGTTATTTTAGTTATTTAATCTCAGTTAGTTATTTAGTTATGAAAGTTAGCGTTTCCTATCAAGTCTAGCAATACATCAAATTCTTCGAAAGCGTCATGCTAAAGAATACGAATTTTTTGCGAGCAAAAAATTTCTCATCACTACTTTGCGAGAGATCAAGTGGACTTGCAAATCATCTCTCTTGTTTTTCGAATATTTTTTTCTGTTACCCAAACAAATCCCATAACTATATTATTGCTGAGGAGCGTTATTTCAAAGTATAAGAAGTAAGTAAACTGCAAAGAAATTTTATTGCTCTAATTGATTCAATTCACATTCAAAATTGAGTTTTGTGGAACAATTGAAAATCTGGAGTCGTTATGAAATGACAACGCCGCATATGGTGGATGATTTGGTTTTTATGCGACCATGTAATTCCACGATAATGCACCATAATTATATTTGATTTTCTTTTGAGAAGAGTGCATCATCCTTCCAAGCATTTACTAATATTTCAAAAACTTGTCCATTTGCAGCAAAAATTTGTTGCAGTTTGCAAATTGCAGTCTCATCTTTTCATGAATGTGAAAAGAGCAGTTTGGAAAACAAGATTAAAAATGAAAAGAATTGTTGTTCCTAATTGAATATTCACTAACCCATTCACTTTTTGAATGCATATTTCTAGTGTTTATTTCCGAAGATATAACAACGAATTGGTGATTTCGGTTTTCAATCGCTGAACCATTACGATAGACAAGTTTTAGTGTCTTTTTGAGTACTAACTATTAGAAGCATTGATAGAGAATGCTTTTTGACATGACATTCTACAGTTCAACGGAGCAGTCTGTTGAGGAAGCATCGCATTCAAAAATGAGATTTCTATCATCTTATTGTTGCGTAGTTCTAGAACATTGAGCATCAGTTGCTTGAATCCAATTTTACGAAGTTGAATTAGGTCAAATCTGAAGCCATGTAGTGACTTTGCATAAATTTCTGCCATAGTGATAAGCTTAGAATTGACAATAAGGGTGAATCTCTTCAAACTTGTCGACACTCAGGTTAGAACGGTGTGGAGTACTGATGAAGGGCAAATTATTCGCAACTTGAGCGCTAGTGTGAACTTGAGGAATAAGCCTCAACCTATGTATTGGAACTAGGCCATATTGAAGTCCGAACTTCAGCCAGTTCAAATTTTTGAGTTGTCGAGATTTTCCGGCTTATTAATAAGAGCACCTGCAATTCTAATGCATAGATTCAGAGCAAGGGAAGCGATGATAATACCACAATGATATGAACGATATCATCATAATAAAAATGGTAATAATAATAATAATAAAATGATAATATTGATGAAGATAATGATAATAATAGTTTCAATTTTAACAGTACACAGCTGAGCCAAACACCAATATAAATTTATCGCCTTGTGTGCGTAATTAATTAACGATTTGTTGCGACGAAAACAATTAAGTGAATCATGAATGAATACACCCAACCGATTTGATTGCATTTGTTCTGCGCCATGCAGAAGATGACAGTTGGCTGTGTTTAACCTTGAATCAGAGCCGCGATATCGCTCGCCAGTTTATGAGAAGACAATATCTTGAACACTTAGTCATTTGTGCACTCTACAGTCACTTCTCATCGCTTGCGCTTAATTTCATTTCACTTTAATTGACTTACTCGGTTTAATTTACGATTGTTTTGATGTGTTTGTGAAAGTTTTATGATGAAAAATCACTAAAAAATCATCTAGAGATTAATGAAATTGTCACTTTAATGATTTTCGTTGCGTGCATTCAGTGATAAAACTGGATTTACGATGTTTTGTCCACATTAAACAGATCGAATAACAATATTGTGGTGAATCAGTGGAGAATTGCAATCTTTACTATTTTTATTATTATAAGTACTGTTATTATTATCGTTATGAGGGTACTTTCGTTGCGAATAAGCAGAAGATACGAATAATTTTCGTAGTAAGAAAGGATAATAGTTTAATGGGATTACCATTCGTCAGGCAGTACTGGCAACACTGTCGTATTGTGCTGTTCACAATAATTCTTTAATGATCTTTCTTATGCGATTGCGAAACTATGCACTTCTAGGACTTTTTATAGAAAGAATATGAAATAATTTAGAAGTGAAAGCAATTTATGCATTTAAGTCTATAGGATTATTTTAGGGGGTTAATTGAAAAGTAGTTCGAAAATAATCGTTAATTTTTTTAAATTTGACTGTTTATGAGAAAATTTATTGCATTACAATATTTTTTGGAGCAGGATCGAATGGCTAATCTCTCACCCATTGCGAAATCTTATAATGAAGTTGTTAGTAGATGTTAGTTAGTTAGTCTATGATCGCAGTAGCTTCTTTCACTTTGACGACGTTTAATTTCTTATCTTGTATAACATTTCGTTCATGTGATCACCTTGATAAGCTTCCTCCTACTGAGGTGAGGTTGGGATTTTATAGAGATATTTCCGATTCGATGGAAGGAAGGATAACCGCAAGGCTGAAGTCTTGTTTATGATTATGTTTTTGGAATCATTATTGATTGACGATGAAGCAATCATTTCAAAGTAATTTTATAGCAAAATTCCTGTGGATAGCGGAATTCAATTGGATAATAAATCAGTGTTTATTAGAGCCCATTATGAGCATCCTATATGTCCACGTTGCTTTTACTTGTGTTGCTATGTGATTTTACTGACAATCAGTGATTACTTTATAAAATTTGGATTCTTAAGAACATTTCGAGAACGCCGGAAATGTTTTTGAAAATCTGAATGACTCGTTTTGTAAAATTGTGCTGCGTTTAGCTCATATCTACGAAATTGCTCTACGAAACGAAATCAGTTTGTGTAGCATATTGTAAAAGGCGAACGGTGAATCAATACTGTGAAAAGCGAAATGTCGTCGTCAATGGCGGAAGCTTCAGCCTCAGCACTGGAGCGTTTTCTGATGACAAAATTTCGTACAACGACACCACCACTGCCACCATCGAGTTGCGGTGCGATTAATGGGAATTTCTATTCGACGGTATTGTTTCGAGCCATTGAAGCCCAATTAACGCTATCAATTGAAGTGCTAAGAAAGAAGTTTTTGTTGCAAAATACACGCAGTTCTGCATAAAACGGTCTCAGATTCACCCAAACGCAAACCATATCAACTAGGATCATGTTTGGTTTTGTAATGCCTCGATCGGACAAGAATCATTCCCGTTTTATAAGTAATTTCTTCATTCACACAGCCTGTGGATAGCTATAAGTCTTATTGTAGCGGTTTAACAAGACTCTTAGCTTTTGGGGAACGAAGTATGAGCTTGTACATTCAAAGCGTACTGATTTTTTGATTGATCGTGTTGTGACCAATGGATGAGTGAGCTATTCTTTGGATCATATGAGTAGGAATAATATTACTGAATGAATGCAAATAATACAAAACGCGAAGTGTGAATCACTCTCAGTAATGAGATTATGCAGGTAGAAGAGTTTAGAGGTCATTACGGGTAACGAAAATGATTTTGTTGTTGGTGCGATCGAATTGATTAACGATTAACTGAGAGTTCTGGTGATCCAAGCAGCGTGATGTTGCGGGATTACTGAAAGGGGTTAAGGTCTTTTGCAGTTGAATGATGAATTTAACAGTCGACATAGCATTCGATTGTTACCACTGAACACGTGACATTGTCATAATTCTGATGCAAAATTCAATTTAATGAATGATTCAAAAAATGTGTGCATGCATGTGTATTCACGTCTTGAAAATTCGTGATTTCTGATTGCTATAAACCCGAATGATTGAAGAATAAATTCGAAATGCGGAATTTTTAGGTGGAAAGCAATTTGAAATTCTTTTCAGTCAGCTGAATGTTAGCTAAATCTTAGGATTCCATTCACCTGACCACTGTTATAGTGCAATCTTCTTGGTTGCCCTAGAGAGATAGTTGGAAAATCACGAGCAAATTGATTGCTTATTTGTGCTTTCCTTGGAAAAGTATCATTTTAAATATCAATACGAAACAGAGTTTTTATGAGTGCTTAGCTATGGGGCTTCAGGACTGATCATAAAAATAAACGCTTCCTTCAGAATCATGAAGGAAGTGAATTTTGCGAATTACATTCAGCGATTTTAGGGGGATCAAAACGGCTATGACAGTCGCAGCAATACGCTCACGATGCATACTTTTCGACCAAACGATGACACTTACAACAGTGCCTATGGGTGAGTGATGTACAATTGTGGAATTTGAATGAAGTTTTTGTTTTTGAATCACCTGAAGGATGTGTGAAGAGCCCAGAGAAAAGTGGGACATTTTTTGAAATTCGGAAGAGATTGCATTGATCGAATGATTGATGTGGTGGATCAGTGGGATTCAGCTGCTCTGTTGTTTGCAATCTCGATGTTCGATGTTTGATTTCTTCAGAAGTCATGGTAACACTTTTTCATCCTCAATGAATGCAGCAACGCCTCCTCAAAAGCCTTTCATTACACCAGCAATGTATTGCCCACAATCTGAACCTACCAAACTAGTGAAGCCATCAGCATACTACGAATCAACTGCTGCGTATCGTGCGAATATGATTGGAACCGTGCAAAATTTTCCTCATCCATTGTCATCTCTAAATGGTAATGCAGTTCCAAATGGACAACATCGTGCATTAGTGAGTTGTTTTTTGCTATTATTATTATTATTTTATTATTATTGTTATTTTATTATGATTAAGATCGTTGTTGATTCATATTTGCTGGTGCAATTCGTCGTCTTTCTTATGATCAATTCAATTGTAATCACCTCATTGCAACTTCAGCCACATACGTCGCTGTCTGTTTTTTGCTCATGTTCTCAGCACTAATAGCAACATAATTTGGGCGTTTTGTGAGCAATTTGCGAACAAAATTCTATTTTCTAACTAAAGCATAACTTCGAATTGCGCTATCGTTTAGTGTAGCTGTATGACATATTTATCACGCCGCTCCTTTGAAAAATACCCACTGAATCCATATTTTCATCCTGTTAATATTAATTGCTCCGCAGATGATATGCTGCCTGCCAATGGCTGAAAAGCTAACAGTGAGATCATTTTCTTGACCATGAGCAATACGACAGTCCAATGTGGTGGAAAGTTCTGCGCTTGATTGTCTATGAATATTTCCGAATTGAGTGCATGAACAACTTGTCTCATCAATAAATTCCCGTTGGATGCTGCTCCATCTGAAGATTGTTACCATGACTTATAACTTGTAATTGTAACTTTGTAACAACTAAAAATGAAAATTGTAACTTTCTAATACGTTCATGTTTCATCGAGCTGTGATGAGTGAAATTTCGTAAATAATTCGTAATTCATTTGTGCACTCTAATTAGACGTTTGTTGATTATCTCACATAATCAACATGAAACACCCTCGCAAAATGCACTAATGTTCGTTGGATGAACGAAACACATTCATTTCTTCATGTTTGATAGCTGCTTCACTTTGTCTTCGTCATGTTAGTGAAGATATTTGATGAATGATTGCGTCAATCAACCTTTTGAATGGTTTCCTCAATTAGTCTCCAGCCGATTCTCTAGTTTCATGATGCAGCCATTCGATAGTTTTCCATTGTTCTGGTGTATTTATGCACTTTTACGTATCATTTGTCTATCATTTCGTTTGTTTTTTTTTTAAATTTCAACCTGACAACATGGAATTCAAAGTGGTCAGAAAAGACACCTCGTTTTGCTGGAGTTTCGATCTTCTTGAAAA